AGTCTTAATTTGTTCAGCTAGAAGCATTTGCCGAAAAAACCGGTGCCGGTAGCAACAAAAACTGCGAGGAACTATGCAAAAAACGCATCTTCACACGGGCTGCCCGTGCGTTGGCCAATTATTTTTGCATAGTTTCAGGGTGGAAGAGGTTTCTTTTCCCCACCCCCGCTGCCTCCTCCCTAGGAGCTCCAATCTCCCGTTCCAGCCCCTCGCCGCCGCCTCCTGCCTCAGCAGTCCGATTCGGATCCGTCTAGACAAGAATATCAAGACTGTCCGGACTACCAGTTTGGGTATTTCATGTTAGTAATATTACTGAAATGCTCCCACACGCTCCACACAATTCTTCGGTCCTATATTGCATAACCTCAGTTAGTGCCCTCAGTGCCTGTTCGTTGTATGTGCTACCTCTTTACGACCCATCAAGTCTAAACCACGTTTTTTCAATTTTCTTTTGCAAAAAGGTAGCGTGAACCTTTGCTTTTCCGCCTCATCTCTCCTCCCCCCTCTTCTTCCTCCTGACGCATCTCCACCAACTAAAATAAAATTATTCAGTAGAAGTACACTCAAGCTTTTGAGCGAAGAGTTCTCACCGTGGCGGTGGATGATGTAAGGCGTTTCGTGGATCTGGCAGTAGCGGTCTTCGGCCAGGTAGCATTGGTGGCATGACACCTCCTATACCGCGAAACAGTGGTGGCAACGGTTCTGCTGCTGTTTTCAAAATTGATTTCGGTTTCGGAGGAAATATCGATGTGCCCGAAGATGATGATCCCACTGCAGCTACTGATGATGCTGGTGCCAATGTAGCTGGCGGAGCAGATGCCGTTCCCGGCAAATTGCCAGAGCTGTTCGAAGGATTGGTATTTGTGTGACCAGTGGAGACCGGAGCTGCGGCTGCTGCTGGTGGAGTGGTTGTTGTTGGCGTTGGACTCTCGCATTTCTCCTCATTTACCTTAAAGTAGTTAGGAAATTTAACTAAATTGCACTAAAATTTTTTGAGAAAAAATAAACACAAAACCGAAATGAAAGTTTCAAAAACAGCAAAAATCCTCTTCGTTAATCCGAACCGTGCATCCATGCAAATCGCCGACGAAATTTTTCTGTTCTCACCCAATTCCACGATTACGAATGAATCACGAAAAATCCGCAGAAAGCCGACAATGAAGAAGCCGTCAGAAAGAAGTATGCAGTGGTGAGAAAGACAATCATTACAAAGAAGGAGGTATACTTTCTTACAGGCAGATACACAGCAGATGTGCTCCCAGGCTATTCTTGGGACACCGTGACAAGTGGTGCAGAGGTTTAGCATGTCTCGCCCGAATTTGAAGATGAGTGGTTCAATTCCCCGCCAGTTCGTACCCACTTTGAAAAAGTGGGATCCGTCTGTGACAAGCGAAAACTCATTTACGAACTTGATCTGAGAACAAAAATATACTTCAAAACATTGAAAGCACGAAGAATAGCGCTTTAGTTCTCAAAAAAAAAGTGTGGCTACAAAAGAGGCGAAGCATGATTTTCCCCCAGAATTGGTCGAGAGCACATCCACTACGTTATCTACATGAATTTATACAAGTCTCACAAGAAATCTTCCTCCATCCCAGAAAAAAAGAAAGGGCCACAGAGCTAACACAAACGAAATTTACTTTAAGAAATAGAATATTTGTGTATTTTTGGGAAAGTTTAGAAAACACCGACCTTGGGTATTTTGAAATTTTTGAGGCTTGCAAATGCGAGTGCCTGAGGAAATTCCACTTTCGGCGACACTGTTGTCGTTGTTTTTTGCTCTGTTAACGGACGATCCAGTTTCGGTTTCTAAAAAAAATCGAAAAACACTTAAAGACTACTTTTCAGCATAAAATATCTTTCAAAACTGTTTTCGTTTCTCGAAAAATTCGAAACTTTTGAAAAATATTTTCCCAAAAACATCGTTCTGTATTTCTAACAACTAATGCCAAAATCTGAACAAAAGTCTGTACCTTGCTACTGTTACCTAAATCGCTTTTTCGCTCACGCTTCGCTGCTTTACGAGTCCGTTCGTCTTGAGTAGTGCGATTTTTCTCTTTCAGTTGCTTCTGACGCAAAAGCACTTTCTCTTCTTTGGATCTCGAGGATGATGATGGTGGCTGGCCAATAAGACGCATCGACCTTCAAAAAATTAATGAACTATGATTCATGGCAAAATTAGGATTAACAGTTTTTAAGAAAAAATGAAACAATTTTCCAAGAAAACTAGTTTTTTTAAACAATTTGCGCGAGAAACAACCTTATAAAACTATACGCAGTGATTTTCAAGGGATTTTTGGAATTTCCAGAAAAAGCAATTTTGTCGTACCTACTGCATGTGGTCAAGGATTTGACTCCGCCAGAAGGGAACCCAGTATCCCTACGATTCGTTCATTTACTTAAGGATAATTTTTTGCTAGTATATGCCAGAGAGTCAAAACATCCATCAGCTTGCTGGTAAGCAACTCTCGAAAAAAAAGAGCCACTGAAAGACTTGCCAGCGGATAACTGCTTTTGGCATTTGTTACCATTTGGATTAATTTCCGAGTGCTTTCACTTTCAGAAAGAGAGAATACAGAGTGATTTTTGACTTTTGACAAAGGTAAAATCTAAATCGCAAAATGCAATGTGTGTAACTTCTAACTCGTAGGATAATGGGATCAACTTCTACATGGTCTTCGAACTCCAAACATGCCAAAACAAATTCAAATGGAATTGCTTACGATGACACTCCACTGGATACTGATGACTGAGGTGGCCCGGCAGGTCTTGCAGGTGCTTGCTGTTTCAGTTTGATCATTATTTTCAGGTCGGATCCAGATCCAGATTGTTCAGGATTCATTTTTGTTAAATTTGGTGATGATCTCGCTCCAGGTGATGATGTTGAGAGTGACGGACTGTCACGTTTCGCAGCAGCCGGCTGAAATAGCCAAACAGGTAAAATGTCAGTTTTGACATATTTTAAAAAAGCTTTCTCTTTGTATTCGTTGGAATCGAAACAGCGACACCAGCTCATTGCAAATTTTTAATTTTTCCTTCGGCTATAATTCAAGCCCAGATTGGAAAGCCAGGGTCTGATATACGGCCTAGGGAAAGGCTTGCCGATGCGATCATGCGTTTTTGCGCCAAACAAACAAATTCTGGCTTCTTCTTGCATGCAAGGGGAAAAGAGCGTCGGCAGGGTCAGTATTTTTGCATCACATGGCCACATCAAAAGATGTATGGTCAAATTTATTCGGTGACCGAACGTTCATCGAACCCAGGTGCACCGAAGAGCTGAATTTGAAAATTTTTATTTGTACGTGAGCAGAGAATACCCCCTTTAAAAAATTAGCATTCTAGCTTTCCTGGTTGCCGATTTAGTATATTTCACATCAAAATTTTCACGTGCTCATACGTGAGGCATAGACGTACTAGAAAGCTGAATTTAAAAGTTTTTTGTTATACGTGGGCAGAAAAAATCCCCTTAAAATTTCAGCATTTTAGCTTTTCTCGTTCTCGAGTTAGCAATTTTCCAGCCAAAACTTTAACACGTCCGTGTTTGAGGCGCAAACGTGCTTGAAAGGTGACAACACGCCTCCGCCGTCGCATTTGGCCAGGGGACAGACTGACAAAACTGCAGCGCCAAAATTTGCTTGATCGCCGAGTAGAAATACCCGGACAGACGAACACATACATACACACACACACATATACAAACATGTACACACACAAAAATACACACGTAAACATGCACATACACAAACGCACACACACAAACACAAACATACACACACACAAACATACACACACAAACACAAACATACACACAGACACACACACAAACATACACGCACAAACATACACACACAAACATACACACACACAAACATACACACACGAACATACACGCACAAACATACACACACAAACATACACACACACAAACATACACACACAAACATGCACACAAACATACACACACAAACATACCCACACAAACATACCAACATACACAAATACGTAAAAAAAGACAAAGTCGGGAAAAGCACATTTTAAAAATATTAGAAGTCTCCCGAAGGTAAGCAAATGCGCAGCTGGTACAGCTAGTGAAGCAAGATTACCTCCAAAAATTGAAAGATATTGTAGCAACAGGACAAAGTAACGTTTTCGCTGCCTGTTACAGCACTCTAGCGCTGCACAGCAAAAACGCACAAAAAAATCATGTCTCTTTTCATCCATGTCATCTTTGAGTGTTCATTTTGCAGAATGTGAGGTCCAGTTGTGGTGCTGAAGAGGAATTTATATAAAATCAACAAATCGATAAGCTCTTTTTCAGCGAGAAGCTCTGTTCCTCCCTGATTCAATCAAAGGAACACTCCGTCAACATCACTAAGATGGGATTCCCACATCGACTACTCGGTCAGTCTTGGTATTCTTGGTATTTTTCTTTGACAATATTATTGTAAAAAAAGTGTAAAAATACTTCGATTGCCTTATTGATCGGTTCTGATTCATCGTCATACAAATCGGATGTTAAATATGGGTTTGATGTGCTGCTACTGCTGCTTGGCGCTGTTTTACAGTGTAACTTTCCAACAACCGCTTCCAGATTTCCCTTGCGTATTTTATGGGACGGAAATGTAGAATGCAGAGAGCTGCTTGTCATCGGTGAGGGGCTGGTAAGTTCGATTGCTGCACTGCTAAAAACAACACTTCACAGCGAAAGTATTTTTCTTTGAAAAAAAAAGACTACTATACTTTGCAAATTTTTTGACTTCTCTGAAAAATTAGAATAACCCACTAGGGATTAATAAGTAATTCACCTTTTCTGGTCAAAAATTCACAACATTAGTAAAAAAAACAAGATTCAAAATCTCCATATTTTCTCCTTTTGTACGTGGAGACAATCGAGAAGTAGTCAGAGTGGTAGCAAATGTCAGCAACAACCACTTTCAATGGTTCCTTCTTTTCTACGTTACTTAGAAGCAAGCTAATGCGGAGGAGGTGATCCCTTGGTTTATGTCGAAAGCAACAATTTACTATCGAAACGAATGAACGAATCGTAGAGGGACTGATTGTCCAATTGGTGGAGTTTAATCCTTGGGACTATAATTATGCAAAAACGCCGAGTTCCGATAAAAGGAAACAAGAAAAGCGCATACCTTGGCGGAAGTGAAGGTGCAGTAGACACTACGGGGGTTCTATTAGCCGGGGATAGCATCGATGAGGAGGAGAGATTTGTAGCGGTCGTAGTTGTCTGCGGCACTGTAGTGCTGCTGCTTATGGATACCGGTGGTTGAGCTGCTGCTGAGCGAACAGGTGGTGGTGGATCTGTTTCATCGTCCGACGATTCCTCGGTCCCATCAAATTCTGATATCGTTTCGGATCTGTTCTCTTGTGATAAACTCACTGCAATGAGGAAAAAAAGCTTAGAACCGTGAAAAGCAGAAAACTCAAATATTAAAAAAAAAAAAAATTTAAAAAAAAGTGCTGCCTAGATAAATTTTAAAAAAAAGCCATTGAATATGATGAAACAACAGAAGCGAAATTATGATGGAATAAGCATCACAGCATTATTTCCACACAGATGCAAATACAGACACAAATATACACTAAACAGGCAACACATATACCACATATGCACACATATATGCACCCATACGCGCGCACACACACATACACACATACACAATGACACATACATTCACACACAAAATATGCACCAAAAAAACAAAAATTATCATATTACACATATGTAAAAGCAATGTATCTGATCTTCAATTAGTCAAAAAAAAAAGAAAAAAATTACATGAAATGAAAAATGAAACTAACATACTTCGCCCTCATTTTCATCCCCCTTCATCTCCTCTTTTTTCCTCTCTCGCTTCCTTGTCTATTCTCTAGATCCATTTGTTAAAAAATTTGCGCTTTTTTAGTTAATTTTTGGTTTTTTTTTCCATTTTACATGGTATGTGTCTAGTAGATATATGAATTGAATGGGCGTTTTCGCCCCTATGGAACCTAACAAATTTAAGATCAAAAATTCAAGTCAAGTTATTTCCAATACCTTGCTAACTCTAATACTACAGCAGCTGTAGAAATGATACTTTCCAATCCCCGCACAATATCGATTGCGAAAACGCCACGTTACCAATTCTATCTTGTGGAAGTGAAATATGGAATACTACGTTTGCTTTGGGTAAAAAAGCTAGCGATTACTGAACAAGCCATGAAACGACATATGATAAGTGTCAACAAGTTGCAGCACATCTCCAATGAAGTACACCGTCCTTCTGATCTGATATAAGTGGTACTGCCAAGACACTTGTACGTCGGACAGAACAGTTAAGCTGGCCATGTGTTGAGAATGAGAGGCAACAGATCAACAAAGCAGATTATTGGATGATACCCACGTTGTGTTAAAAGGAGACATACAGGGCCTGTCCCAATGAGTGAAAATTTAGTTTTGAGTGAGAAAATGGAAATTTCAGTACCAGGAGGCATTTGCGATGGATAAGAGGAAGGCATTTCTGAAAATGAGCGCTGCAACATCGGTCGATTAATCGAAGCAAACTGGTGCGCATGTGCTGGCGATGCCGGCATATGAGCTGCTTTTCGTGGTCGACGAGGTCGTCGTGTTGTGGAACTTCCTGCAATTGTAGTACAAATTATCACATACCCTTGAAAGTTCCTCTCTATGTATGCAGTAGTTTCAAAATCTCCTTCATAGACTTTACCCAGCCAACATATACGACTTAATGAACCGAAACATTTCTTACCTATTACAAATATTCCTTAGTCCCCTTTCCCCTTCTTAGTTCGCTTTTTCTTAATTTTCTTCCCTTCTTCATCTTTTCTACTTCATTATTTTCTCTTCAACCTTTAATACTGCAGTGAGAGGTAGAACTATTGTAGTGCAGCAAGTCGAGAATCCCGACTTTATCGATGGAATAATCAATTCCTCTAGGAATCGTTCATTCGTTTTGATGATAAACTGGCACTGGCGTACGTCAAATAGAGTTGAATCGTCATCAATTTGATTGTAATCCCAATCTACGAAGGGGGAAGGCACATCGACAGTCTTGCCATCCAGTGATTAATTTCGGCATGTGCTATCGTTTGAGCTACTTTCTGAGTGCCTCTGTTTTTCACAGTGAGCTAAAACGAAGAGAGTTTTGATATTTTGACTAAAAAAAACCCTGAAAAATGAAAAATCAAGGCCTAGCAAAAACTTTTTCAATTTCTTGAAAAAGGATTAACAAAAGAAGCTGTAGCTCAATTATCTGCCAGTCAAATCTGCATCAGTTTAGCAAAGAAAACACTCGACAAGCTAATATTTACTAAGTGAGTACCAATTTACCATCGAAACGAAACAAGTGATCGTAGACAAACAAATTTAGGTTTTTCTTGTAAAAAAAAGAGAAAAAAAACACTGCGTCACGTGAATTCGATCAAAAAAGCGTTAATGCCTAGTATTTTGAAAAAAAAAAAAAAAAAAAAAACGGGCACTGTAGAAAGTCTGTTAAACTGAAATACCTCGAGGTTTCCGTGTTGGCATGCTCATACCGGAAGCAAGCATGCCGGTATTCGGGTCGATGATCGGTCGACTGGGATCCAAAACTCGATCACCAATATTGCCAGCCTTACGACCACGTCCACGACGCTTCAGCGTTGGCTGTGCGCTTATTGAGCCTCTGGTACTCTGTATCGCTCCAAAAGGATATGGATTTTGAGCGGGACCCGGAAAATGAAACTGCTGCGTGGATGTTGGCATTGCAGTAGCTGGAGCCATTCGTGGCGGATCATCAAATTCGAACACGTCCGACGGATTACTCAGTGGAGCCTGTTGCAAAATGAAAAAGTACATTATCGAAGCACAATATTCTACAGCATATCTGCTAAAAAATAGCTCTTTGCAGCTGATGAGAAAGACGCTATCAAGAAAAGATTAAAAAAACACCAAGTTTTTTCGTAAAAACTTATTTATTATGTCTTACTTCTTTAAATCAGCTTCTCCCTTACATGGCGGGTAGAGGGCTGTACTGATGATTTCGGGTCCTAATCAGATTCGATGCTTTGTCTGTGTTTACAGTTTAGGGATGAAACAGAGACTGCAAACTTACCTGATTCTTTCGAACGTGTAATTTTCAAACAATTTTACTAGATGTTTTATTAATAATTTCGGGTTAAAAAACAGTTTAACTACCGATTTTTCGAGGGTCCTCAACAACTGACGAATTTTCGACAGACTTCCGCCATGCTGCAGGCACTCACCTAAGTTGCACATGCAAACTGAGTGGTCATCTTAAATGCCCGCGCTATTTAGTGTTCAGAACCAAATCCGATCCTACTGTTAATTTACATGCTTCCAGTTGTATCTGCTAAAATATCTGTAAAAACTAACTGCTAAACGTTGCCGAGCAATTTCGAGTGGTGAGAGCTGCGCAAAATTTGCCGGTTGTGTTGTGCGATAACGATCAGCAGCTGGTGACGGTGATTGTGGCGGTATTTGTGGTCGTAATCGTTGCGCCTGCAAAACAGCAATGCGGATATCAGTTAGCATTGCGACTGTTGTACTGACGAGGTCCAACTGCGACACTGAGTTACGGTGTACACAAAACAATTGATCGATACGTCTAAGCTTCCCCTGCTCAGTTCATCCTACCATTTTTCTTTGACCCCACCTCATTCTCATCCATCTTTCCCTTGATCCTCCCGTCTAGTTCATATCTTTCCGTGCAATTAATTTTAGATTTGTGGCTTTCGGGAAAGTTCGAAATTTTGCCCACACCATTTGACAATTTCACCCTCTTCGGTAGCTCTATTTGGACCGTAGCCAATTTTGGTTCGGCCTTCCATGGCCCTTCTACTGAACTTTCGAGAACTCGTTTACTGCCGAGATTGGATTATATGGAAGTAAAATATGCGAAAAAATGTGCCGAAATATTATGCTTTTTCATTTGCACCAATGTAGGAGCCCGGACTGGTCTTGCGGCCGAGAGAAAAACTACTGCATTTCTTACACTCGTTGAGGAATAGTGTCTTTAAGCATGAAGTTATGGTTTTTGAAGAGGATATGACGCTCATATGCACGAGAATGACTTACGTGTCCAGTGTCTCGTCTGGCCTAGTACCACAGGCGATCCAGAAGCAATCTTGGGGAAGGGAGCGCGGGGGGGGGAGGTAACGGGGGATGAGACGGAGAGCCCCCCCCCCTCCACCCTAAAACTATGCAAAAACTGGGAACAGAGTTGTAACACTGCTACCTAGAGTTACTTTAGTTTTATTTATAAAAAGACCAGGGCTTTTGAAGCATTGGTGTCTGTGCCGGTAGAGGACCGGGGAGGGGAAAGGGGCGTGCCTAGTACCACATTCAGCTTCAGCACAATTCAGGGATCTACAGCGTATCAATCTGACTAGCTGTAAATGCCTTAACAGTGAGTTTTTTTCTTGAAGTTAATGGAATTCCCACTGAGCTGAGTGTAGTTTTGGTTGTATAAACAAACTCTTTTCTCCGGACTTATAAGAGCTTAAATTAGTGCTGTAATCGCTATCTCTACGAAGGGTACAAGGGAAATACTTGCCTCATTTGCTGACGGCGAACACCGCTCAACAATCGATGAACGACTGCTATGTTCCGATACATTCGACTCACCGTCGTCAATGTTTGCTGCCATATCACATATTGCATCCTTGAATAAAAATAAGAATAATAAAAACCTTTTGTTTTTGCCCTTTTTTTGTCAAAACAAACGTAAACTAGATGAAGCAATTGCAAAAAAAAAAAAAAATTCCAATTCACATCATCAATGCTTTTTGCGATTTTTGAGCATTTTTCCTCACTAACCCAACTGGCGCTGAGTCCGGTGGGGCTGGATTGGCGAATCGCACTCCCACAGGTCCCAGCTTCTGCAGCTAACTTTACAGCTAAGGGATGAACGACAAACTGCTCTCTCGCGTCTTCCTATTTTGGAATTGTTTAGAAATGTATAAGACTTAACGGACCAAAACATTTCTATCTTGTTGATTCTTAAATGCATTTCCCTTAATATATAAATACATTTCATCATTAATGTTTTCACCGAATTCTCATAATACTTATATTTTTCTATTATCGAATATCGCTTACTTCCTTGAAAATTTCATAAATTGTATTTCTGAGAGCTCTCTTTAAAAAATTGTCATTTTTGAAAGGAGTTTTCTTTTTAGAACTTCAAAAAAGCCCAAAACTTAACAATGAAGAATATCTGAGCTTTTACTTATGCAAAATATGGTGCCCGACGGAGGTTGCCGGCATTTCAGTACATATTCAGAAGTATCACTCTTTGTGATAGCACATCTCCGGATTCGACAACATGAAAGCAGAGACACGCTGCAGCCCCGGTGCTTCACGAGGGACAGAGAGGGGCATGCCTTCTGACCATCATGCATCTCACTTGCTTAAATGAGGTATTTCTTAAGAGTTTTATTGAGGAACATAGCTTGGGATTCATTTTCGCATGTAAACGTGATTTTTAGGTCTCAACTGATTCTCAAACGCCTTTTTTCTAAATTGAATTTTGCATATTATTGACGAAGTCTTTGCACCTTTTGCCCAAATTTTACATCGTTTTGCTAAATGCTGCATCCCACATCCGCCTCAGTTGTTCATTCTGTTAGAGCTAAGGGATGAAACACAAACTGCTTATTCGTATGTCTAATCTATAGAATGGTGCAAACTCTATCCCAGCCAATTTTGTATTTTCAAAAACTCGCCTCATTCCAATCGATAAATCTTAAAAAACATTCCTGCCTACTCAACAAAAAACCAGAACTCTCTCTTAATGAAATTATTGCTGTCATTTAAAAATTTAATTATGAAAGAATGAAGAGAGTTGAGAGTGTAGTAATGTGTGGGAAGCGGAAGAAAGAATAAAAGAAGACAGTTAATCCAAGTTCATGTGGTTATGCCTTCGACCCCATCGGAAAGTTAAGAATGGTGCCTAAAGCGACAATTACTGACCATTTCAGGATGAACCAGAAAGAACCTGCCCTTGTTTCCCTTGTCTTTCACCAAGTCTAGTGATCCAGCCTTTTCATCTCATTCATCTTCATTCATCCTATAATGTCCCATGTCCCGTCATCAGCCTACATGCAAAGCAATCCTCGAAAGAGAGAACCACCGACAACATTGTCAGTGAGTGGTTGCTGTTGGCATTTGCTATCATTTCGACGATTTCTCGAACGCTTCTGCCTTTTACAGCGGTTGAATACGAAGCGAGTTTTGTCTCTACGTCAGTTTGCAACAAAAGCTGTGCATGCAAAAACTGCTTTGGTGAGGAAGTCTAATTTTTCCGTGCATTTTGCTGGGGCGTTTTGATTATCCGTCGACTTATACGTTGTTGCTTGTCACAGACAAAAATCAGAGGACCCAATAAAGACGTGAATCGACCTGTACTTTACAGCTTGAATGATGTTTAAGCATGCAGAAAAAATGCATAAGCACAGACCCACAACACAGGATTCTTCGTCATAGGTGAATCCAAGACGGGGTTCCGGAGATGGAAGGAAAGCTACGGCGGGTCGGAGGAGAGTACCCTTCCATTTCGGGACTATGCAAAATCAAGGAATAGAGTTGTAGCACTGCTACTTAGAGTTACTTTAGGCTTTAGTTTACTTGTGTAGCTTTAGACCCGGACTTTTGCAGCACTGATATCTGTGCCGCTAGCGGGGAAGCGAAAGACCCTTCGCCCCTTTCTTCCTCTGGATCTGTCTATGTTCCCGCAAGCAGATCTCTGTCTGTGTTTACAGCTTAAGAATAAAACGTAAACTGTGTTCACAAAACTGTTGAATGCATGATATGTAATTCCTTTGCCTTTCACTCTAATATTTCACTCTTTTTGGCCTGTCCTCCAAACAATTAAGCAGTAGAATAGAGCTCTAATGTCAACGCATCCTCCAAATGCAGCTCCTCAATGTGACCACTGGCAAAATACTTCCCCACCCTAGAATTCACCACAAAAAATGCTAGCATTTGAGTTCGTTCTTCAGGACCCAGCAAAGACTGGTGCATCAAAACTACGAATAATTTCGTATGGCAATCTGGAATTTTGACTAAGTGAATGAGTGTGTTAAGAGAAAGAGAAAGAGAATGTACCAGATCGGATAAGGCGTTGATCGTCATGGTATTTTCAGAGTGAATACGACTGGTACGCGGTGCCAACATTTCGCTACGTGGAGGCGCCGCGCACTGATGTGCACCGTTCATCGGTTTCTGTGGTGGGATCAATTCTTCCACTTTTTCGAGCTCTTTGAAAAGTGTGAGTAGGGAGGGTGGCTGCCCCAGGCCAAGTGTATCACGCAGTGCTGCGATGCTCAGCCGTTCATCAACCACGTACTGGTGGCATTCATCGGTGCTGTGCTGGTGATTTTTAATGCTGTCCGCTGTGTTTGGCACAAACAACCACGATTGAGACAATTTAACATCCGCGCTGTCAACATTTTCGTTTACAACAAATGCTTTCTCGCTACTAGTAGTAGTTGCAGCTAAAGAAATGGCGCCTCCACGACGCAAAATGCCTCGCATCATCAACGCAAGTGACCATGTCCTGAAACACACACAAAAAAACAGCTCTTCGAAAAAAAACCGTTCTACAATTTGCAATACACTTAAAGTTAATAAGTTAATAAAAAAGTTAACAGAACGAAATATACCTATTTAGTTCCTTATCCTTTGATCATACATATATATAAAATATTAACAGCAGTACCTCGATTTTCTTATTGTACTTCTGCTCCTCTCAGATTTTTTATTTTCGACTGTCTTTCTTAGCTCCTCCCCCACCCCGCCACCCCTCCCATCCCTCTTATTGTGCGGATGGATTTAGTCAAAAAAAGCAGCTGCCCTGACTTCCTCAGTTTTCTAAGGTTTACTGAAACCGCACATATACTTCATTACTCTTACCCCACCTCTTTCTAAACTTCTAAGCGCCATTATTAAGGTGCATATAAGAGACAAAAAAACTTACTTTGCAAGAACAGCCGTAGCATACTGAGATTCAGGAAGCACAGCCCCATTTATTACGCATTCCAGCGATACATTTACATTCGCAGCTGCTATCGATACTCGGGCTGAACAAAATGAAGCGGATTAAACATTTGGCCCAGAACCTGAATCCATCGCCCAACCACAGGTTGCGGCGTTTGCTTGGGAAATTACCATGAACTCCCTCCTTTAATCATCAGGATTACTTGTAGTTCGAAGGTCTTATGCAAGTTAACGCTCTCATCTTATAGCTGCTATTAGCTTCGACGCTAATCATGTGAAAAAAAAAGCTAAGCAAATTTTTCATGTTATTAGAAAAAAATTTTAATTAAAAATTTCTCACCAATGAAAAGATTCTGTTTCAAATGGAACTGAAGATCGAAATTGTCAACCGATGTGCAGGCCATCTGAATGTCAGTGGAATCTTTATCCACACATGCACTTCGATTATGCATTCTTACAAGGCTCTCAAAAAGAGCATTGTGTGCCAGCTGCATTCGAATGATATTCACAATCGGAACAATATCGTGCAAATGAGCAAATGAAATCTGCAAAACACGGTATTTTTTCGGATGAAAATCTGACATTCGAGCACCAAAATTTCCAAGTTTCGGCTTTAAACCCGTTTCCAGCTCAATTCCAATTCGGGGAGCACATCGCAGCGCAGGACTGTAATACTAAGCGATTGCGTCTGACCCATATGTCGGCCTTCGGAAATCTTTGGTCTGATGCCTATTGAATGAAAATTTTGCAAAAGAAATCTGGTTCCCCCTTCTCCCCACTTCCCCCCCCCTCCGCCCCCGCGTCCTCTCCTCACTCCTAATTACAAAAACAACGCGGAAATAAAATAAACTGCACACAGCTTAAAGCTTAGGATAAATTACCTCACGCAATATGCCATCTTCACGTGAACGTTGCATCGATTTGTCCAAGATATAATGCTGTGTGGAGCAGCCTGGTGAACGAATGTACAAATCGTAGCATTCCTGAAACCAAAAAAATTCCAGCAATGCACAAAAAATGGAGTTGTAACTAGCTCTAGTGGGAAAATACTAGATCTGCCCCCTCCCTCCTCTTTTTTTTTGTTTTTTATGCGTTTTTTGCAGCAATGCAATGCGAAAAACGCATATTGACGAGAGGTTGTC